TAAGATAAATATTTTCAATGAATAGGGTAAGCTCTTATAAATTTAAAAGGAAAATAATTTAAAAGAAAAAATATTTTAAAAGGTAAATATTTTAAGAATTGTATGTGAAATGTTGATATTTTTCCGTCCAACTTGGGATTAGCAATGATTAGTAGTAAATTTAATTATAACATTGTTATATGTGAAATTTCAGTGCTGCAAAAGAAATAACACTCGAATATAAATTGTCTCAACAAGGCAATTTACATCTATAGAAGGGTGCGTGCGTCTCACGGATGGAGCACTTGAACAGGGGAGGGGAAGAGGTTTTTATCCCTGATGCAGCCCCTACTGCTGTGTCATTCCCACCGCACAACCTAAGCTAGTTCTGACTGGCTGTTTTTAAGAGAGCAGGGCTATGAGCCAGAGTGGCGGGGTAAGTGGTTTGGCGGGAAAATCACTTAAGGTACAGGTAATTAAAGGTGACTCAGGGTTAGATCAGTTGACCATGGGTGACTCAGGTCAAAGCAGCTGCCTGGAATGAGTCAGGACGGAGCAGGGGACCAGGGGAACAGATGTGAACTACTGATTAGAACTGGTGGAAAAGGCTGTTTACAGGCCGGGCATGGTGGCTTATGCCTGTAATCCAGCACTTTGGGAGGCTGAGGTGGGTGGATCACCTGAGGTCAGAAGTTCAAGACGAGCCTGGCCATCATGGTGAAACCCCATCTTTAAAAAATAAATAAATAAATAATAAAAATTAAAAAAAAAAAAAGGCTGTTTACTGAAAGTACAAGGAAGTTAAAAATGGAAGACAAAGGACTGAACATACTGACATACTGATTCTTTGAAGAGAAATTTAGAACTCATTTCATCCAACAATTCCCTCCTCGTGAATTTTCTTTATAGCTTTCTCTTCAAAATTCCTTAACATGTCTTGGCTTAGTTGTTCTGCTTGATTTTCTTAAAGAAGAAGCTTCTCTGAATAAGGTGGAGGGATGGTTAAGGGAGGTTTAGTAAGTGTTGCTTCTTTGAGTCTCTGCACTAACCCATGGATGCATGGTATGATACAACATCCGACAAGAATGAGCACACCCACTACTGCTGTGAGAGAAGTAAGAATTGAGGCTATCATTCCCTTCCATTTACCAAACCATTTTCCTAGCCACCCTGTGAAGGGGTCATTTACCCTTGGGTTACTGGCTAACTCATTGGACAGAGCCATTAGGCCTTGCAGTGCCTTTGTTATACTTCCATAAGGGGCAGTATTGTTTGGGATGAAGGTACAACAGTGAGTTTTAATCATGATGCAAACAACTCCTCTTTCTGCTAATATCATGTCTAAGGCTATTCAGTTTTCCCAAGCCATCTGGCTAGCAGCCCCTAATTGCTCAGCTATTCCTTTAACAGCATCTCTAGTGTAGTTAATAAACCACTGTTGGTTGTAATAAATGTAATTTATCCAATCTACGTTTTTATTAACTGTCACCCACCAAAATACTGACTCAAATCCTGCAGCTATTTAATCGTGGGCTTTAAATTTATCTGGTACTCCTTGTGGGACTCCCAATTGCATCTAAATAGACTTGAGAATCAAAGGACCCATAAGGGGCTTCTTTTGCTTTATGATGTTATATTTTTTCTTCCTCTGGTCGATGAAATGCCAGGGTGAAAGGGGGTAGCCAATTGGACTAGAGCACAAGTGCCGCCCCAGTTACTTGGCACAGTGTCTAGTAAAAGTCCACCGCAATACCACTACACATCTGCTTGGGGATGAACAAGGGCTGACTGATTGGTAAGCTCGTGAAAAGTCTTAAGCTCACTGCATCCCTTTGGGTCTCCAGGGAACGCTAAGTTTCCTCCTTGTTGTGAGAGACATGAAGTGAACTTAGCGTAGGGAGATGGAAGCTGGATGGTCCTCAGGGGCTGACCCGCAGGGTGTTGAGCTTCGGGATATAGCAGAGAGTTTGGTCTGACGTGCTACCCTAGGCTGTGGAATCCTGGAAAAGAGCTACCATACAGCCCATGCCGGGTCGATTAGAAGACCATCCTAATGGAAAGGGGACAGTCTGGATCTCTGGCCTGCCATGCACGCAAGCATAACAATTGCTTTTGTTTAACGTGCAGATGGAATATTTGATCCATTCCAGCCAGACATTCGCATCTTGCTATCCTGTCCCAACTGCCAAAGTTTGTTTTAAGTCGTTAACTTCTACAATAGCTACCTTGGTCTTGTCATTAGATGGAGGAGAAACAATCGTTTTGTTATGAGAGGTTCTGGAAGCAGGCTTAGAGGACAGTGTAGGTAATGAGGGGGTCAATGAAACGTATTTCAGAGGTTCTGATAGGGCCTTTTCCTGAAACCTCAGCCCCCACACCATAAAACCAACTTAAAGAAGAGAACCGGCTTAGATAAGAAGGGGGAGAACTTTGAGGGTTTGAGTGATAACCTGTATAGGATTATACTGATTTAGCTGACAGGGGAGCTGTTCCTTTAGTAAAATGAATGTATGGTTTTAGGAAATTACAACTACTGATTGGGGCAGTCCCTCCTTGCTCTTCAGTGGTCCACAGAACGTTGGACCAGCTGTGGCACAAAAGCTCTATATGGGGGTCGGAGGCAAGATTCCTGGTTGATAATGGGGTCTTCATCGATATCGTCACAGACTAAATGGTCCCAATTCACTAATGTCCAGTCTGAGGAGAGTCAGGAAGGACAGAGGTACATTTCTGAGGTGGAGAGCCGTCTTTGACTTGACAAGTGTCCACAGGGTATAACAAAGCAAGCATCAAATGTAATAGCGTGAGGTGAAATTGACTTGGTTACATTAATAACTGGATGGTCAGCAATAGAGTGAGGAGAGAAGAAAGAGTAATAGAATAGATGAAAGAGCTAAATTTTTCTTAGCTTTAGTTTGGTAGGGTTTTCTCCTGAGACTATGGCCCATGACTCCAGAGGAGGCAGTGCTTTCTTGACTCAGGTGTGTTGGGTCCATCCTCTCTCTGCCATCTGGAATGAGGTTTCAGTAGTTAGGAGCACTAAGTAAGGTCCTTCCCAGGCTGGCTCGAGCTTCCTTTCTTTCCAGCTTTTGATGAGGACGTGATCCCCAGGCTGATGTTGATTCACCAAGAATTTCAGGGGCAGTGCCTGTGCTACGAGACCTTTAGTTTTAAGAGAAGAGAAAGCAGAAGATAGACCAAGTATATAATTTGTAAGGAACTGATGTTTTGTTTCAAAGGTAGGAATGTCAGAAGTGGAGTGTAAATAAGGCAATCCATAGAGCATCTCATAAGGAGAAAAACCAGTATCTTTTCCCAGCAGTTCAGATTCTCAGCAGGACAATAGGAAGGCACTTTGTCAATCAACTGAGTTTCTAAGACTAATTTGGTTAAGTGGTTCTTTAAAGTCTGACTCATTCTTTCTACTCTCCCTGATGAGGGTGAGTGCCAGGGAGTATGGTATTCCCATCTAATGTCTAATGTTTGGGATAGCTTTTTAATGATGTGTGCGGTGAAATGAGTTCCATTGTCTGAGTCAGTATTTTCTATTAGTCCAAACCTGGATACTAATTTTCAGCTAGGGCCTTGACTACTAAATTGGCTGTTGCACTTGAAAAGTGGTTAGCTTAGACCCAGTAAGTGAAGTTATCTACTATCACTAGTAAATACTTTAGATGACCTATTGGAGGCATTTCTGTGTAATCAACTTGGATGCTTTGGAATGGCCTTAAGCCTGGATTCCTTACCCCGAGGGGTAATCTTTTTATGGTTTGCTTATTAGTTTTCTTACGTACTAACCAACTATCTGTAACCTGTGTGGCCAAGGTATACATTCCTATATAACCGTAAACTCTGAGAACTGTATCACACATGGCCTGGGGCCCCCCAATGGGTCCCTTGATGTCATGGGATAAGATTTCCCTCATAAGGGGTTTAGACAACATTTTTCTCTGGTCTGGCAATATCCGTTTTCCTTCTGAATTGTCTTTAGCACCTATTTAAATTAGTTTTTCTTTTTCAGGGGAAGAGAAAATGGGGGTTACGGTAGGAGGAGGGAGGTAGGGAGT